GCCTAGTGTTGCCCAAGCCCTTTCTTAAATGGCATTTTGCTTCTCCAGGTGTACCTGATGAAGAGGACACGTTTAAGAAGCCCAGGGAAGTTATCCATCGAAACACCCGTTTTGTGAAGGACCCTTTTAGCCAAGCCGTGAGCAAATCACAGCTCCAACAGGCTGCAGCCCTCAATGCTCAGGTTGGATAATTCTACTTTTGCTGACTAAAACCTTGCTGGATTCTGCACTCTGGTGTTGTTTATCCACCAGGAGAACTGTGTTTATACTAGATACAACTGACTCACATCGCACTCCATGTCTTTTTTTATTTCAGTACAAACAGGGAAAAGTGGGACCAGATGGGAAAGAACTCATACCCCAAGAGTCCCCAAAGGTGAATGGATATGGCTTTGTGGCTACTCCCTCTCCTGCCCCTGGTAAGATGGTTTTCTTACTTGTTCTGATCTGATAGGACTGCTACCGCACTTGTTTTCGTGCTCTGTTTGTTCAACGCTGGGGTGTTGTCAGTTTAGACAAGCTAAGCCTTCTCACGGTGGATGTCTCATGAGCTGGTGACTGTCTTGTGTACCATGTGTGCCAGCTCAAGGTAGAGCTTAAATCCTAGCCCAATACACTAGCAAGAGAAGTCATGCTGTACCCGAGAGGCTCTGAGCGAGCTGCTGTGCGAGAAGGTGGCGAGCCTTCCTAAGCAACCAGGGTTCTGTGGCTGCTTGTTTTACCCCTGGGTGATGCTTCTCTAGAGCTTAAAGAAGAATTCAGACGTTTCACAAACACTCAACCTGAAAACAAGGAAATACTTCTTTATGGCAAGGGTAACAGCACTGCAACAGACTGCCCAGAGAGGTTGTGGAGTCTCCATCTACGGACACATTCAACACCCATTTGGACGTGTTCCTTTGTGATCTACTCAGGCTGATCCTGCTCCCCCTGGCAGGGCAGTTGGACAAGTTGATCTTCAGAGGTCCCTTCTAACCTCTACTGTTCTGTGATTCTGTGATTAACCTTCCAACGAGTTCAGGTGCTTATTTTTCAAAACAAGAAGTGTTTGTGTCAGTGCCCGGTAGTTTGCTGAGTGATGGTTCAGCCTGGCACGTAGGCATGTGGCATGTCTCGCGTCCTTCGCAATCTAATCTCCTGTTTTCCTCCAGGTCTAACTTCTTCATTTGTCTGACTACGTTGTGTGTTACAGATTAATTTTGTTCAGATATATTAGCTACAGGATACGTTCAGTTAGAAATGTGATATCTGAATTTTTAGCTGTTTTTTACCAGCAATTAATGTTTCCGTGTTATACTAAAAGGAACATACTGAGGCTTTTCCTTTGGAAAGCCTGTAGGTGGCATGTGGAGCACACTTCTTTTCTCTCCTGTGGATGCCTTTTCCAAAGCCTAGACAACAGGATGTTCCTGCCAGGGACTTAATCAGGCTCTTGGAATCTATTCTGCAGTTGTAGCTGTTAGACAGGGTGCAGTCACTGCTTGGTACAGGCCTGCCTCAAGATGGATCAAGGGTGTATTTGGCTATTGTAGGTATCTTAAGTCCTCTGGCTGTTTCCTGCTTTTAAATAGTTCCTTGTGTTGAAGGAGTATAACAAAAGAGGGGACAAGTAGTGCTGTAGAGGAAGAAGTGAAAGTGTCACTCGGCAAAAGTTCACCAGATGGAAAAATAAACACATGGAAAGGACAGTGCTTGGATGTTGTAACCTAGAGGGTGACAGCCACAGCAATCCTTTGAGTTTAAGGTCTTGCCCTTTTAATGGGAACCAGTTGTTACTATTCATCGTTGGCTGTGATTTCCTCTCAGAGGAAGGGCTCCTTCGTGTATTGATGAATTTGCTGCGTTTCATAACTTGCTTCTTTGGTTTTTTGTGGTGGACAAACATCACCATAAGTGTCAAATGTCTTGCATGAACGTGACTTAAAATTTGTTTTTAGGTGTGAATGAGTCTCCTTTTATGACATGGGGTGAAATAGAAAGCACTCCTTTGCGTCTAGAAGGCTCAGAAACTCCATATGTGGACAGAACACCTGGACCAGCCTTCAAGGTAATGTCATTCTTTTTTGGAGAGAAGGACTAAGAAGGGAAAGGCAAGTGAGTAACGAGTAGATTAACACTGTGGGACTGTGACACAATTCTGGGCTGTGTTCCCAGTCCCTTAGACTAATAATCTAGGTTCTGCCTGGAGGGTGGAGGTGGACATTGCTGCACATGAAAGCTGCTTGGTGGAGATATCTGAGGTGAAACACGCACTGTTGGCAGGAGAGCGAGCCTTAATATTTGATGATGGATCCAGACAGAGGGACTTTCAGAGAAAGCTGGACAGACACCTGATTTCTCTGATTTTAGTGTGTGAATGGGCAGAAATTGTAGAATTTCCCTCTGTCTTGATCTTATAGCTGTCACAGCCTGAGGCAGGTCTGTCACTTGAGAGTAGAAAAGGATCTCTGGCTTTGCTAATACCACTTGACCCTGCATGCCACCTGTCTCCTGCTGGTGCCATTGAATGTGAGCGGCCTTAGACTCTTAAGAAGGGTGTAATTTGCTATTTTGTCAGACTCCGAAGCCCTTGACTGGTTCTCCTGCTGTTTAGCAATGTCTCTGTTTGCCTGAGAGCTGGCTGGATGCAGGCCAGGCTAAGCAAGACACAGGTGACGTTGTTTGTCTAGGAGAGACAGCAGGAGGAAATGCCAGAGGTAATGGCTGCTTCCTTGACTGAACTGGTTCTACCAATTCTGTTACTTGCTAAGGCAGATTGAAGGTCTCTGTGTCCTCTCTGGCTTTTATTTAGTGGCAGAGAGGTGTGGACTGACCCCACTTCTCCCTAGTTTAGATCACTGTAGGCTGGAATTCAGCTGTGGAGGTGCTTTGACTTGTTTATGCATCGCTCATACAAGTGCCTTGTGTGATGCCTTTATAGATCCTGGAGCCTGGGCGCCGTGAGAGGTTAGGACTCAAGATGGCCAATGAAGTGGCAGCTAAAAACCGAGCAAAGAAGCAGGAGGCACTTCGAAAAGTGACAGAAAACTTGGCCAGGTGAGACTTCTGTTCTGACAGCAGACCTGGGGATGTGTGTTTCCTGTTGAGATTTAAGTCAACATATATATAAAGGGAGGAATGATAAGAGTACTGGAAGCAGGAAGAGGTACAGTCAAATGAAAAGTTTCTAGAAATTGAAAAAACCTTACTTCCTGAGGGAAGGTGGTTGGTGGCTGCCCCTGATACTCCCTCTTGTCGGCATTACTGTTCTGGCCTGCCACCACCCCGCAACACATCTGGATCAGTGTCTTGCCTCCTTGCAAAGAGGAGCCGTGGTAAGACTTGCTTGGCTGGGTCACTGGAGGGATGGAACAAGCTCAAAGGAAAGGGCAGGCAGTGCCACTCAGGTTTGAGAGGGATGTGGTAGGTTTCCTGGTGACTTGTCTCTCTAGAGAGAGAGGCTGCATTTACCTGCAGGCAGAATTGCTTCTGCAGCCAGTGGGTCTGGTCTGTGTGGGGAGCGGACACTGAGCTCGCCTGTGGAAGTATTGAAACTCTTCCTCCTAAATGGCAGATTTTTACTGTAAAATCTTTTAAAACTGTTTATTCTATTCCAGCCTCACTCCGAAAGGACTAAGCCCATCAATGTCACCAGCTTTGCAAAGACTGGTGAACAGGACTGCGAGTAAATATACTGACAAAGCCCTGCGAGCCAGCTATACTCCTTCGCCAGCCCACACGGGAACTCCTGGTTACAAGACGCCAGCAAATGGGCCTCATACACCCACAAGCACCCCGCAGTCTAGGACAGTATCTCAGACGCCGGTATCTCAGGATACTACATCCATCACGGACAATTTACTGCAGCTTCCTAAAAGAAGGAAGGCATCTGATTTCTTCTGAATATTCCAGTCACCAGCAAGGTGGTCAAGAACCAGCTCAGCTTTCTGCAGCCTGGATGATATGAGCCATCGGTTTTAAGGGGTGTCCAGATAGAGCTGCCAGAGTGGAAGATCTGGGACCAGCGCTACTCTAGACCATCTGGCTAAAATAGCCTGCAGTGTGTTTTTTGGAAGCAGAGTCACTCCTGCTGTGGTATAACTTCCCTTTGACCTGCCTGGGTGTGTTGCACAGGGCTGCTGTAGCAAAAGGATGCACCTGCAGAGACGGAGAAGATTCTGGACTCTTGGAAAATGGCGATAATTTTGTGAAGTTATAGTTCTCTTTTTAAGATGGCCATTCGTTTAAATTTGTTTCTGTACAGATATTTATAAAATGTGATAAGCCTTCCTAAAATATTGAACTGGACTTTCTTTTAGGCTTGTCCAACTTCCTTCCTTTTTTTTTTTTTTTTACTTAGAGGGCTTATCTTTAAGTGGGGTTTAAACTGATGGTCTTGAACATACAGTGGGCTTGTCAAGAGAGTTGGTACGTTATTATCATAAAATCATAGAATGGCCTAGGCTGGAAGGGACCTTAGAGATCATTATATCCAGCCTCCCTGTCATGGGCAGGGACGCCTCTCAACCAGATCAGGCAACACGTGGGGACCGAACGGGGTTCGAACCCCTGACCTTGATGTCGTCAGCACCACGCTCTAACCGACTGAGCTAACCAGCCCCCTATTGTAACACTATGCATACAGTTTCAGATATCAGTTCACACTTCCTAATAACCTGCCCTCTTACTTAACCCAATCCAAAACGTGGTTGATGCACTTGTGAATTCGGCAGCCGCTGTAGTCGGGAATTCGAGGAGCCTGAACATGAAAGCTGTTAAATGTCAGTAGCACTGAAAGAAACTTTCCAGTGTGTTTTGACAGTAATTTCCCAGCCCCACAAGCTGTACCAGACTCAGATCTTTTGAGAATGATAGCATTAAGCTGTTCATTTGCCAGAGCAGATGTGCTCTGTCTTGTGTTGCTCTGCTTTGGTAAAGGAGAAGACGAGGACTATTGCTGAAAGTGTGCAGGGAAGCTGGAGCTGAGAACCAGTAGTGCACGGGTTAGGCCAACTTGCTCCTTAAGAGGATCCCATTTCCTTCTCCTGTCCTTCCTTTTCTGCGGAGTGGGGCTTGGCTTCCTGCTCATGCTCAGGCTTTCCTTCGTGCAGATTTTGGGAACACTCATCGTCTTCTGCAGCTGGCACAGCAGAAGGCATTTTGGATTTTGGAGTCTGCAACCATGAGTCTTTCAAAACTTCATCTATGCACGGCCTCTGAGAAACACTGGGCTGGAGCAAGTGGTAAATGAGGTTCTTGCACTCTAACGTCAAGCATATTGTGTCGGGAAAGGGAATCCGCTGTTGTTTCTGAAGGTGGATCATTGTCTTGACATGGGAATCATCAAATGGCATTAAAGCACAGACCATGGTATACAGGATGACACCCAGGCTCCATATGTCGGAAATCCTGGGGTCGCAAGGAATGCCCTGTAGCACTTCAGGGGCTGCGTATGCAACAGACCCACAGAAGGTTTCACTGAGAATAATTCTTCCATGTTCATCTCGAGACAAGAATTTGCAAAAGCCAAAGTCTGACAACTTGATGTTGAGGTCTACATCGAGAAGGATGTTCTCACATTTCAGGTCCCTGTGAACGACGTCCAAGTCGTGGCAGTACTTGATGGCAGAAGCCAACTGCTGAAACTTGACGCGAGCCATCTCCTCTTTCATAGGTCCTGTCATGTTGATGTAATTCAGGAGGTCTCCCTTTTCCCCCAGCTCCATCACAATGTACACTTTCTTGGCTGCTGTCGTAAAAATCTCATAAGTTTTGATGATCGAGGGGTGTTCCAAACGTTTTGAAGCCTCTATTTCCCTGGGGAGAAATCTTTCGAGGAATTCCGTAGGAGCTTTCCTCTTGTTGATTATCTTGATGGCCACGCTGCATTTCAGCCGGCTGCAGTAAGCACGCTTCACTTTGCCGTAAGAGCCTTCTCCCAGCGTGTCGCTCAGGCTGTAGCCTTTGTTTCTGAGTGCTGCAGCGTCGTCCATGGTGGGAGAGCTGGGGGCAGCTGCATGAGGTGGTGCTGGTGGCGTCATGCATGGGGGCAGGTGGTGTGCCCATGGGCCATGACGGCTGTCCCAGGGTGCTGGTGCAGCGGGCGGACACCCCAGTGGTGGCTGAGTGTGATGTCACAGTCTGCTGCCCTTTCACGAGGCACTTGGAAGAACCTTCCGGTCCTTCTGTAAGGCTACTGGGTGATGTCACCCAGGGCAAAACTTCACATCGAGAGACATTGGTTGTGCTCTGCATTCTTCATAAAATGATCTTTATGTTTAGTTTTGCTGGTGGGGTGTGTGTAGTTTAAATTTCTTTTTATATTTATTCGCATTAGTCAGGTGAAACTTTGTTCTCTTCTTGTATGTCTTAGATGATCTTTTGAGCCCGATGTGAGCTTGCTTGTGGCGTGTGCTGGCCTTGCTCCTCGTCGGCCAGCTTTCCTCAAAAGGGATGGGATGCTGCTTTTCTTGTCTTCACCAGGGCTATTTTCAAGAACTGTTGGCTTGTTTTTGTTTTTCCTCATGGGTTTGTTAGGGGAAGGAGGTGGCTTCTTTTCAATTAATTTTCTTGTTCATCCAGCCCCTCCATTTTGTAGCTCTGATGATTTGCTGCTTTTCTGGGCTTCACAGATGGCTTTTTCATAAACCCTTACTCACTGAGGGAGTTTTATTCTGACTTTCAGCTTCTGGTATTCTTGAGAAAGGCTCACGCCAGCACCTTCCTCAGAAAGGTTCTGAGGATTGCTGTTTTGGGTGTTGATTGCTTCTCTGTAATCAGCATCTGGGGCTTTTTCTTTGCATGGATTTCAGCTTTTTCAGATTTGTTTTTACTGCTGCTCTGTGTGTGACTCCAAAGACTTGATGTCATTCTGAACAGTCGCGGTACTTCTGACAGCCGCACTGGAGCTTTTTCCTCCCTTTCTTTGAAACTTTTGGCTGATTTGTATAATTAGCCAAAGAAGTGAACCATACACAGCCTGCACTTGGAGCTGCAGTTGCTCCGGTGTGAGCTGACCTTTGTGTGTGGGACGAGCCCTTGGGTGGCGCGATCCAGCTGGGAGAAGCACCAAACACCTTTCAGGAGGGAGCAGGCGGAGCCAGATGTGTACACTTCTTGCACCATGCCTGAGTACAAGACAGCCCGTGTATCACTTGACAGTCTTGACATTTGCTATAATCAGGTGATGTTTTACCGAGGGAACATCTATGGAAAATCTTACGCAGCTCTCTGAGCGGTGCCTGCAGCCTTCTCTAAGGTTTGTTTGATGCCGTGGTTGTGTTGGTGGAGAGCTTTCTCCTTTGCGGTTTCTCCTGCCACTTCCAAAATTCATCCCTGCCTGTGGAAAACTCTTCCAAGGGGCTTGATTTTTGCAGTGTACCTTGTAAAAATCAGTTTTCAATATGGTGTTGGTAGGAATTGTGACTGCAATAAATCGTTAATTTTTGCTTTTTTTTTTAGCTCAGAAATAATTGAAGACTAAGCTTTTTCTTTAAGCAAAAATATTCTCAGGTACTCATGAATTAATGTAAAGGTAATACATTCACTACTGTTTCTGTGTTTCAGAGATGCTCTTTAAGGACTGAACAGGCTAAATAACAATGGAATTCCTAAGTAATTTTACAAACTAATTATTTATTTCATAAGGACCTTAGGGTACACGGGCAGATGATCAGGCACTGGCCTGCACTTTGGGTCACTGACCAGACCAGGAGGAGGTGGTAGACGTGAGAAGAGGGATGGCTGGATGCAGCTGCTACAGAGAGACCCAGGGAAGCACGGAGCTTCACGGATGGTCAGGCAGGAGCACAGGGACCACCTGGGAAGTGGAACTTGGCAAGGTAGAGGTGACCCAGGGAAGAGGTATCAGAAACAGCAAATTTGGCTGCAGATCTAGCAAGACTGGGCACAAGGGAAAAAGTAATTAGAGGAGGGTTATTTTCAGAGGAGATGAGGGTTAGAGAAGGGGAGGGATTGGAGAAGAACAAGCATGGGAACGTGGAGAGAAATTGGGATATGGGCTGGATGCGTGGAATCAGGCTGCGATCAGCACACGTGTCTCAGGCCCTAGCACCTCACCTCCTCTGCCTTAGATGATTCCTACCCATTCACTGGGTGTGGGAGCTCTCTCTTCTGGGCATGGGATGCATGCAAAGACTGGTTCAAGGGACCGTGAATGGGGTGTGCACGTGGGTTAGAGGCAGAGTGGGGCGTGCATTTTCCACAGCTTATCAAACTGGTTCTGCTCATACCGAGATGTAGCTAGAGAATAACATACGATATCTGAGAATTATTAGTTCCGTGTTGTACAATTGCTTGAAATGTTTAAAAGCAGATCGTGTTAAATATCCAGTGAGACACTGTTAGCTTTGTGTTCGCCCTCAAGTGAATTAACTAGACAGCCCTACTGAAATCACGATCTTGGTTCTGCCAGAATGAGGAGCCGTCACGTGTTTGCTGGGCATGTAATTTATTTTCAATGAAATGCTACAAAACTGGATCTCTTGAAGTTGATGTAGTGCTCTTCAGATGGGCTATTCCTGTAACGCCCGCTCTAATGTCTGTCTCTGCTTCCTGCTGCAGTTCAGCCCCTGTGATCTGTAATTAGGGAATCAGTAAACTCTTTGTTGTGAGATATTTTTGCTGCTGTAGCACTGGGAGATCATGTGCCTTACAGGGCCAAATCTAGTGTGAAAAGCATCTTGGTTCTTGGTGACTCGTGATTTTTTTTTTTTTCCCTTCCATTTTTCAGAGAGTAGGTTTCCTTTTGCTGTTCTTGTGTATCTGCATTTCCCTTGGTGCAAGGCCCAAGCACAGTTCCTCGGCCACCTTAGCACCTGGGGCTCTCCTGATGCCGCAGAAGTGGCTGACGGCAAGCAGTGGGACTCTCCGGAGTGGCAGGGCTGGAGGGGGCGGGGGTTACTGGCAGCTTGCAAAAAATTGTGGGAGCCTCCATGGGCCTGGGGCTCTGTGCTGTGACGTGGGGCTGTGACAGCATCACCTGCAGAGTCTGTGGGGGCTTGCACAAGCTGTGCGGGGCTTGGCTCCTTGCACCACACAGGAAAGAAGATGAGGGACTACAAGGGATTCTTGTTTTTATAAGTGGGCAGGAAAGAGGGGCGTTATGGTTGGCTGGGGGAACAGCAGGATGTAATTCTTGAGAGAAAGTTGCAAGAACTGTTAGTGAAGAGCTAATGAAGATGAGGGACAAATTGCTGTAACTCAGATGGAGAAGGTGGGCTCAGATGCCTTAAAGAAGGAAAACCCTGGTTACGCCAGAGATGACTGCTGCTCTTTTCTTGGTGGGATGCAGGTAAGAAAAAGCTGAGCAGCAGACAAGCAACAACCCAGAGTTTGGTGGGGTGAGTAAGTGAGAAGAGAAACTCGCAGTCACTCCATGCTGTGCTTTGAAAAAACAGCAGTGGCCAGGGGAGCGGTGGGGCTTCTGTGTTGGGGCAGGAGGCTGCACTCCAGCATGGTTTGCTGATCCCCTGTGGCCCTGTGAGCTGTGTCCTGCTGCAGGGAGCTGCATCTGTACCGGGACTTCACAAAGGCCCCGTCCTCTGAGCTGGTTTCCTCTGCACATCACCTGCAGGGCCAAGAGCATTTCCCTGGGGCAGAGGCAGCTGCCCCTGCTGTGGTTGCAGGGGCCGTACAGGGGCAGCAGATTTGCACCCACCCGAAAGCGGTTTCCAGTGCGGGCGAGGGCTCTGCGCTGCTTTCTACTTCTCAGATTATTTAGCTAGAAGGGAAGCTGTGGTTGGAGATGCTTTGTTGTTTTGGAGCACTGGGCTGTTTCTCTGCAAAAATAAAGGAAACGGATCCCCTCACCCAGGAGAGTGGGAAATGGAGCAACTCCTGCTTCCTCATATTTGCATTTGTTGCCTCAGTCCCAGCTCACTGCTGCAAACCCTAACTGGTGACCAGGGTGAGAGCCAGGTTTAGCTGCCTTCCCTGTGTGCCCCTTCCCTCTGCTCCTGCTGGGCATGGCTGCTTTTTGGGCACGGGTGATCCTCAATGTCTGGTTAGAGAAATGCTCGTTCCCAGTAGGAAGCTTGGAGGTCTTGGGGTGTGCCAGCCCCGAGGGCAGAGGTGCTTGGTGCGTTGTCACTAGCACGCTCCATCCTCACCCCTCCTGCCCAAGGGGTCAGGCTGCCCCTGCTCTCCCCAACGAAGTCCCTGGGCTCCTGCCTGGGGGTTCAGGACCAGTGCAGCTGCACAGGGCAGCTCTGCCTCACGCCGGCCAGGGTTTTGGCAATCCTGTACCGTGGGTCTGTGCCAGCGCTGCAGGGCATGGCACAGCTCTGGGAAGCGAGTGCCCCTCACCCTTCACCTTTGTGCTGCTGTGTGGCTGGGCCGTTCGTTGCTGTTCGCCCGAGGGCGCTGTTCGAGCTGCGGTGCTGGCTCTGCGGGCAGGCGTGCTCCGGACCCACGTCTGTTTAGATCTGGTGGGGTGCTGCAGCATGGGGAGACGAGGTCTGCCTTTCCTTGGGACAAAAGCTAGGGATGAGCAGCGTGTGCGCTGGTCTCACGGAGGCATCGTAGAGCATTTACTTATACATCGTCACGTATGGCATCACGCTCGGGCCACAGGTGTCATAGCCTTGGGGTGGGTAAGGGATGTCCTGGATCAGTCTGGGGTTGGCCTGTGCGGCTGGGCTGAGAACAGCGTTCCCCCTGCAAAAAGCTGGGAAGTCTGGTGCTTGTGCCTTCATGCTGGAGAACGTTGTCATGTGTCAGCTCCTCACAGACACTCAGATCACGACAGTATTTGGCAGAACGCAAGAGCTGGCAAAATGGGTTTTGGCCTAGATCTTCAGGCTGTCGCCCTGCTGCTTGTGACGCACTCCGGCGAGTCCCCAGGCTCGTGTCCCTGGCCCCACAGCCCTCCTGCGGCCCCGAAGGGCCCACGGCTCCAGGCAATGGAGCCACCACTCAAGCTTGCTGCTACCCCAGTTCTTGGCGGGCACTGATTTCCTCTGCCACGTTGAAC